TTGAAACTGAATGAACATCTGCATGATGAATTATTTTGAATTTGATGGGATTTATAAAGTTCACAGAAATATTCTCCGGTACGGATTTATGTTAAAATGTTCATTACATTTTGCTGCATCCGAAATATATTTTTTTGGACAGAAAGTGATTTTGAAGGATACAAAAACTGTGCATTTGTTCATATCTGATAACAAATGTTAAGTTTTTTGATTCGGCATCAATGCCGTGATATCCTTGAAAGCATAAGCCTTCAAGATATTATTCATCGATGAACATACCGTAACCATCGCTTGGTTCCTCGCAACTCCACTTAACAAATTTCAAGCATGTGATTGGCTGTTGATGAGCCATCTGAGTGTATATGATTCGGGATGTTTCATTCGAATTCTTAAGTATTACAGATTGATAAGTTAATGATGACATTTCAATGATAGCAATAATCAGTATTACTGCTGTTGTTTTTCTTGATGCTATGCTGAGGTCGCGAAATTTTTAAATTACCCTTAATCCTACCCGGTGATTCGATGATTCTAATGATTAGAACAAGATGATCTGAATGCAATTGCTAAAGCAATATATTCATGACCTATTGCATTGTTCATGAAATTGAAGCAATAATGAATGAGATGAAGTTTCAATTTCCTTCCAGCTTTCATTTCTCAGCTCAAAAAGAGGAAGGATGTACGATAATCGGGGGATGACTGTAACCAACCGAGATCTCAGCGAAACAAACGTCACCACTGGATGCATATGCGATCAGCTCGACCCTTCTCGAGCAACTCAGAACATTCGGTCTTCGCTCACATCCCTTTGCAATGAACGTTGTCGATATTTCCATGGCGTTTCGTCTGGATTTAGTTTAGATTTATTGATAGCTAACTGACTGCTTAGGCTTTCAATTTCAGTTTTTTAAAGCCTAGAAATATTTTCAGTTCACATGGAACACTTCGAATCAGATACGGATTACGGTATCACTCGCACGTGAAGCATTTGCATAATATTTACTACCTGGTCGGTCGGTCACATTTAGATTTCGTCTTAACAAAAGAATCTAGGACTTTTCCTATACTTCATCCATTTCATTTCATTCGATGACCAGTTCCCTTTTGTAATCATTCATATGATTTCATCAAATCAAAGTTCTCCGACAACTACTACCAGAAAATAGAGAACACCACTGAAGTACATCTCCATCTGCCTTTTCCCTGAGTTAATTGGATTCCTCGCATAAACTCAACTACCGCAAACATCACATCCGATTAATTAAACATCTCTTTTAGGTTGTAGCATTCCTCCTCTTGTATCCTACTCATCTCATCATCATTATCTGCTACCGCAAACCATCTCATAGTCTTAACATTCCCGATAATTTATCTCCAAACATTTCCTTTTGATAAAATGCGAGTTTCGATGAAAACATTGATAGCAGCATTGCTGTACACAACTACTTCAATTACTCAACTGAACCTTATAGCCAAGACATTCGTCATCTGGCTAAAACTTAAAACTCCATTGATTGAAATCTCAGAGATTGAAAAATCTCTATCAAGGTTGGACCGTTTTTCCTCAATCTATAAATGTCAAAGAATTGTCTGTAGCAGTAATTGCATGAGATATAAAGATAATGTGTTGGTACAAATAGACTAAGAAGAAGATTGTATTATGAACGTATATCCATTCATATAACAGTAACAACAAAATTTATCGATACGACGTATCATTGGTGAACGACATAAATAAACAATTCATTTGTTTCTTGTTGTTGCATGGCCAAACCCATCAACGCAGACGACGTGCCTCTCTCTCGGCTTCCAGCAATGTCAGGATGTCACCTTCTCGCACTGGGCCTTTCACATTTCGAATGATCGAACGATTTGTTGGGTCATCGATAAAATCAACTCGCACCTGAACAGCAGTCCAATTAATCACATTTCTTTGGTTTCAACGGTTCTTCGTCAATAATTCTAACTACACTGAATACAAATGGAACTTCGACTCATATGAAGTTTCAGTATGAGTATGGTTATGTTTAGGCAGAATACATAAAAAATGTGAAATTTGAGGAGCGAACAAATTTATTCCGACAACTCACAAATCGAATGGAACTGAGAAGTCGCAAACAACATTGCTCATTTCTTTTTACAGGTGAGATGTGAACATAATAACGCAGTTTTAAAAATATATAAACTACTACCATGGAGCAAAACGAACATTAACGAAAATTCTCAAGTATACTGCTGAATCAGATGAATTCGATAAGAATACCGACAATAAAGCAACACGGAAACAGGTATACCTGAGTACATTGACCCTGCGATCCAGTCCTTCCAAGAATTTTGGTTACCTTTGCAAGTTTAATTGGCTTGTCCATTACTGATAATGTTTCTGATTATTTACCTCTCTGAAAATTACCAACTGATCAAATAAAAGAACTGGTCATGAATTATGACTCTTCACATGATAACTTCAAGCAGATTGCTGTTTGAATAAAACAGCTTCGGGCAACACAAGTACAAATAATCCCTAGAATACATAGTCGTCCTAGTTCACTCAATTTTGTTAACGAAATGAAACACAACACCAAACTAATCGCAAATCGGCGAGTTCGCCTCAAAAGTTACAGAATACAACAATAATTCCGATGAACATTGGTCTTGAACTACTTCTTTAATGTTCCGGAAATCAAGAATTACAGAAAACTAGGCAAACTTCTGTAATTCAACAATTTCAATAAATTAAAATGCGTAGAAATCCATCGATAATACAATTGTGAAAGAATTCATTCACAATTCACAAATCGTACGATCGCTTCACTTTCGTTGTGAGATTCGGTTGTGGCATAATAACCTCATTGCAGCGCATACTCAATGAGTAAATCAATCCAATAGTAATACACTGAGGAAATGTATTTGACTAACAATAAGCCAAGTTTCTCAGCATGGCTAATATCACCACTGCTGGGGGAAAATCAGCAAATGAGGTGATGATTCCCCTGGCAATCGACAAACTTGTAAACTCTATCACAATGCTTTTTCCACTGCTTTCATGACAGTTACCTAATTGCCCATAGAAGAGGACTTACCCTAATTCTAAGCTCACAGGGCGAATGACCGATTGAAGCTGAGGAACACCCAATTGAACAATTCATTTCTTTCCAACAGTGACGATGTCTAATTCACTAACAACGAATATAAATATAAATGTAAGGAATATAGGAATATAAATTCAAGCAATACAGGAAATATGATTAAATTCTAAGGAATATAAATGAAAATCAGGTTTATTACACAGAACACCTCGAAAATATTCATGAAACAGTTCAGTACACCATCATTTCAAGATATCAGCCTCCACCCTTATGATAATCATCACAACGAAATCATCACCAAAAAAACTGTCTCATTCATAAATATTTGAAAAAGGAAAGGTCAATATTTAATACACTGATTAAAGTGTTCATATTCTGCAACAGTAAAACGATGCATTTGGCTAATCGAGCGAGATATTTATTGATAATTACTCATATTCCATGTTCAAAACAAAGACTTCATGAATACAGGAAAACATACTTACAAAAAATAAAATACCAATTGATTTTTATCAAATTCTCAAGAAGAACACATTTCTTTAGATAAAATTGAGAGCATTTGGAAATAGAAACATAAGAATAGTGAATATGATAATGCCTAAGCCATCAACCGTAACAATGAAAGAATGTGATTAACAGAATATGAATTAACAGAGCATGCATCGCAAGATACTGAATATGATTAACAAACTATTGTACAAGAGAGGTAATCATAAACCATCAGATGAGATACGATAGATAAGCTTATGAAAGTGCTAATAGAATGACGCCTTTCAATTATCTATTTCCTCAGGCTGTGCCACAAACAAACTCCATTCAAAATTGGAAACTTGTTCTTGAAATGTATTGAAAACAATCAACAGATCATATTATTACCATCAAACAGCTTAACAAGAATATATGAGATATCAATTCGATAACACACAAGTATCATAGTATAACGATAAATATTTTGGAGAACTAATTTTATTGCGATGACGAAATGAAACCGTCTGAAAATTGAACTAAAAGAAAAGAAACGAAATCATTCACATTTTCGAGGAATTCAAACCTCAGCAATCAGTTGAGAACAATTTACAATTAAAGACTTTCCGGCTAAGTGGAAGGCCAGATTACCGCAGAGAATACTCAAGATAAAGAACTTCATAAAACAGAATCGCAAAGAGAGAAACGCAAAAAAAGAAAACAAGGTAACGTTACAATCAATGAAGGATATTGCGAAATGAACATGATTTTGTAACAAATACAACACATGCACGTAAAACAAATAAGATAAAACAACGCATAGATAAATGGACAAATAAAAGCGATGATTGATATCAATCAACTGCTCCAATCTTCAATTTAATCGCTGTCGTCATCACCCGAATTCATTTCAGACTCCTGAAATCTTATCACTATCACTTCAAAATGATTCCTTCATCTCTCTCAGATCGAATTCTCCGTTTCTCCAGTTTCCAATCACATATATCTACTCAAATCACTGCTCAGCACGTCATAAGGCAAATACAGCTTTCTTGTCAACAACTTCAATAACTAATATTATCACTTCAGTGTTATCACAAACAAATATCACTCACCTCGCTTTCACTCTTTGCCTTCTTTTCAGTCTTCTTCAATGGTTTATTATCACTTTCCGATGAGTCACTATCGTCATCTGAGACGTATTCCTTCGATTTCGCTTTTGCTGGCGATTTGGTTGGTGATCTGAAAGATGAGGCGTTCGATGATACCACCTCGTTCACAATTTATCCATTGCTTCATAACAAACATTAAAAATATAACTCTAAAACTCTCTAATTTAAAAGGAAACAACTCAAACAGAACTGACGATGTTTTCGATTTCTTGGCCGGAACAGAACTTCCAGATGCAGATGCAGCCCCACCACTTTCCACATACTGTTTCATCTCACGCGCATATCGCTCCTTATCTTCGGCTGCTTTCTTCTCGTATTTCTGCATGAACGATCAGATAAAGTGACAACATTTTAACCACAACACCAGTAAAGTATAAAGTAACAATGAAGTAACAATCCACTGATTTCAAGTTGAAAACGCACCTGTTTCGTTTCAGCATCCACCTCTTCTTTCCACATTTTCCCGGCACGTTGAGCTGCCTCTGGCGCTGACAGGCCC